AGAGGGCATTAAATGACTATTTTAAGTGAAAAAAAGAAACAAGCAGTATATCAATAGTAGTTGGAACACCTGGGGGGGCGAAAAAGATCGGGCCTCAAACAAAGGCTAATTGTGAGACAAAGATTTGCATTTTACATTTTCATCTGGGGATAAAATTAGAAAATGAAGCCCCAAAGCCTATTTCATCTGACAAAGACAACATATTTTAGTCTATCAGGAAGACCGTCCACGGCACAGACCATTTACTGCAAGATACAAAGAATATATGAGAAACTGCCTCCACCAAAAGGCAAAGCAATATATGTCATGAACATTTCCTTGCCTGAGATGGATAGATAAGCACACAACAGAAGGAAAAACACTCAAATTGCACTTTGAGGCAGACCAAACCCTTTTCCCACAGTAAATTCTTTGTATATACACATCAAAAACAGATTCAACAATCCATTTGGGAAAACCAAGGTCAGTTTGCAGCCTTGAACAGACCTAGTGGGGGATGGAGGGCAGTTCTCTGGGTGAGGTCTTGACAAAACATGTCCTCTATGTGACTGAGCAGTTCTTTCACCTGGTGTGTCCTGCTCGGGCAGGGAGAGGAGAGTCTTGTTCGTGGGTGCTCTGGGTGGGTGCATGATGGGCCAGGGCTTCCGTCTCCTGTGCCCGCCACCCCCATCTCATCCTGCTTTAACAGATGGCAGCCTCTGTGCTACTGTGAATTGTCACATCTGCCCTTCCCTGAGAGATGGGCCATCTCTTGAGATGAAGACTCCTCTTGCATGAATAGTTCTACATCTGTGTTAACTGCCCTACTGTCAGACCCTACCAGATGCCCTACTGTGGAGACCAGCCAGCATTCTCTGTGAGGCTCAGAAGGCTGAAGGAGAGAGCAGGCCTGCCCACTGCCCGGGCAGGAAGTGATAGAGCTGCTGGCGCTAGGGACCATGTTTCTTGAGCGCAGGAGAGAGAAGGAGCCCTGGCCTGGGTGTTAGGGGACAAGTGTTAAATGGGCTCTGTGGCCTTAGGCAAGTCACTTAACCTGGTGACCTTTGCTTTCTCTACCCCTTAGAGCTGGGGCTGTGGGGAGCAGATCAAAAAATGGGTTGAAAGGGTTCTATAAAGTACACAGGATAGTAAAAATAAGAGCAAAATTATTCTCTTCCTCCTCTTCGATGACCTATTTTTCTCTGTTTCACGGCCTAGGGAACAAGAAAATAAGCTTTTCTTCCTCACTGCTGAAGAATGGAATGGTTTATAATCCTCTGCTTATCAAACTTCCATATCAGTCCCCCTCTGGCCTATCTAGAGATCCTCCTGGAAAATCTATCATGGAATGATCTCTCAGTAACCACCCACAGTCAGTTCAATTAGCCAGATAATTTTATTTACAACAGTTTGGCTTTATTTTTGGTAAGGAAACATGTGTGGATTTTCTACACACACACACACACACACACACACACACACACACACACCTGTGTGTGTATGCAACCAAAGGTTAAGCAAGAAGGAGCATCAGAACTCTGAAATCTAACCAGTCTTTCTAGAGAAACACAGGTGGGGGGGCAGAATCAAAGGCAACTTGTTTACTTCAATTTGGTTTAGGCAAGGGAAGGTGAGAATCACTTGGTCTTGGAGGTCCTTGGTATAGTTTTTACACAACTGTTTTGCGAGAAAATTACTAAAGGGGCTTTTCTTCTCTTTTTGGTCACTGAGGGTGGCTCATTATCTGTTGACAGCAAAAAGACACAATCATGGACATAATACAGAATACAGAACTTGGAAGAAACTTCCAGATTAACTCTAAATGAACCCTCTCATTTTACATATCAGGAACCTGTGGCCTCCAGAGGGAGAAGGGTTTGCTCCAGATCATGGAGATGGGTGGGATGTGACCATGGCTTTGCGCTCAGCCTCCAGGTTCCCGAGGCAGGAGACAGCGAGCCCGATGGGGGAGGGGTCATCAGGGTGCAAGTCACCCTGGTCTGGCCCAGAAACCAAGGTGCCTGGAGCCGAAAGGCCCATCTGTTGTAGTCCATTCACTCAAATGAGTTAACAAGCGAAGGAGACCCCGACCAAAGCAGCGGTCAAAGCAGCGGTAGCAGTCGGGCCCCTCTCCTGGGGACTGCCTGTATCACCTGCAGCTGTGATCACTGGGGAGCCCCATCCCCATCCTCTGTGGTGCAGCCTGCAGTGTCAGAGCTGCCCAGCCCCACCCCTGGCCCAGGCAGGAGTTACCATATGCGTGAAAAGGACAAGCTTCACGTCAGTGAGGCTGGGCTCTGTGCCCCACCACCCTCCTGGCCGCCCCCTCAACTTCCCACTGGCAGATGCGAGTGTCCAGGGAGATCACCGGGAGTTTAAAGGACAACCTCCACTCTGTCTCTGCCTCACTCTCCCCTCTCTCCCCCCAACACAAACTGCTTGCCACAGTGAGCCTCCTGAAGGCCCAGCTCTGGCCATGCTCTCTATGTTCTACGTCCATAGACCAAAGTACTAACGTCTCGGCCAAATAAGGCCTGTCACCGTGTGGTGCCAGCTGACTCAGCCAGGGCATAGACGAGGGTCCTTCCAGCTGTGCCTGGGCCATGGGCACGACCACGCTTCTGCCTCTGCCTGTGTGGGTCCTCCACTCCCATTACCTCCTACCCTGGGGAGGCCTCCCTGGACTCCAGACCAGGACACGGTCCCAGCACCCACTCCTCTGGTACTCAGCCACAGGAGGGGTGCTTGTGATACTGCCCAGGACAGGCGCCTGCTACCCTCGGGTACTGCTACCTGAATGGAGGTAAGAGGAGGATTTCCATAAAAAGTATCTCTGCAAACGAAGTTTTAGATCTTTACCTTCTTTCTCATCCTTTTATAGTAGTGGTTCTCAATGGTGGAGGTGGGGGTGTGGGGATACTTTTGTCCCCCAGGGGACATTTACACTATCTAGAGATATTTTTGGTTATCATGAAGGGGGGGTGCTCCCTACAACAAAGGACTGTCCAGTCCCCAAAGTAAATATGTTGAGGCTGAGAAGCCTTGTATTTGGGTAACTAACAAGTAGCAAAATGGGTTCCTCTGTTTCTCTGGGTGATGCCAGCAAACAGTGAAATACCTAACATAAGTGCTGAGGACAAAAGAAAATTTGTTCAGCCTGAATCACCATGAACTGATATGATCAAAGGGTGTCACTTACTCCTGCTTTGGAGTCACTCAGAAACATACTTGATGGCAGTCTAGCAGTGGCTCCCCGCCCCCCGCCACTGTAGAGTGGCGGGCTTCTCAGCACACACACTGCTTTTTGCTGCCGACTTCCAATTACAGGATGGTTACCTACAGGGGGGCAGCTCAGCCTCCCCGCACAGGGCCTGCTGAGTAAGGGACACCTATAGGACTGTTCCCACAGACAACACTTCTAGAGCACCCCCTTGTCTGGCCCTGTGCTAGCACTGGGAACACAAAGATATGATAAAGTGGCTGTCCTCAAGGAGCTCCTAGTCTAGTGGGGACACAGAGTAGTAAACAAATAATTTCCAATATTGACTCCTGGCTAGGCCAATCTAACTTCCGTTTCCCTTTAAAAAGTCCTTTTGGGGAGGGAGACAATAACATAGAAAATAAAGCAGTGGAGCCACATCGCTGATTAAAATCTATATTGCTATGGCAGCCCCTCTGAGACGAGATCAGCTCCTGGGTTTGCACCAGCTGGGCTTGTGGAGCTTGTAAATAATTAAAAGGTAATTGGAAGGGAGACCAAAGTATTAAGTGGATTTTTCACTCTCAGGGCAACCAGGGAGTTTCATTGCTGCCAGTCACATTATCTTTCAGGATTATATTCTTGTCCTCTACCGACACACACAGCTCCAGATAGCAGTTGGAGGAGTAAACTAATTAGGCTGCTTAGACTGCTTTGAGAGGCCTGGAGATGGGAGGACACTGAGACTCAAAACTTTGTCTTTGTAAGCAAACCAGCAGTAATGGGCAGGCTACTGGGACAGCAATGAGGCTTTAGACGGTAAAGGAAAGGGGGGGGGGAGGAGTTAACACAGAATAGTACCTGCTGGGGGCTGCTGTTATAGCTCAGCCTAAGATAGAGAATTTCATTCCTAGGTCTCAGTAAAGCTGCTGATGCAGAAAACCAAGGGATGCATGATCAGACATAAGCGGGATCCCAGGCAAGAGGCTGGTGGGAATAGCTCTCTCGTGCGGCTTTGTCCTGAGGGTGATGAAGGTGGAGCAACGCAGGTTGCTGAGGACCTTCTCCTAGAAAGGCTGGGTTTCTGGCCATGCTTCCTGAGGGCTGACCTGGCTGGTGAACCCACTGCTGTGACAGGATGTAAAGCCAGGAAGTTAAGTCACTGGGCTCAAGACTCAGTCACGCCAGTGTCCAAAGTGGACACGTCTGGGGAAGTGGGGTGGGAGTGAGAAGGAGAGATGGACAAAGAAGTGGGAAGGCGCAGATGTCCATGTAACCTACAACAATTTAACTGCAAGAATGCCCCAACCAAGCCAGTGGGTGCAAAAATCAAAGAGCCAATGGATAAAAGAGCCTTTCCTTTTCATGGATCCTTTCAGACCCTCTCAACAAATCCTGAGGGACCTCTATTCTTTTATTGGCCTTTGTCAGTCTCTGTAAGACTAGGTACATCAACAGAAAATCCCACATACTAGTTTAGGTGGTGATGTCCAAGGTTGCTAGAAGGCTATAGAGAAAGTATATTTGAATTTGAAATACCTCCACAGAACAGTTAAATAGAAGAGAGCCTCACAAACAAGGCAAGACCAAATTTGGATGCATCACTCCACTCATTTTCTGCCTAGGTCCTCTCTGCCCATTTCAATCTCATTGTCTGCCAATTACTCTGCTAAGGCCAGAACCAGTTGGCAGGAAGCGCCTCTTGTTCTCCTGGGCTAAGATGCTGGCACTCTGCAGTCAGGATGGCTAACAGTGACTTGCACACAGTAGGCACTCAATTAATATTCACCGAGTTGAAAAACTGAGTAGACTGCACACTCACCCCTCTTCTGCATAAAGATGAAGAGGTCATCCAGGAACTCTTTCCTTTCCGGATCACCATCCAGTTCATACAGCTGCAGTCCCGGTCCCCCCAGAAAAAAAAAAAAAACACAATGAAAAATTCCATCTAATGCAGGAAGTCTTACACCAGACATACACAACCATCTCTGTATCTCTCTGTATGACTGCAAATGTGACTCACAGACCACTCCTGCCCTTATTCCTTGGGGCGGGGGTGGGGGGGGATAGATACAACACCCCATGGCAGCACTGCCCCTTTTGTTATCACAGAGGAAACATTACAGACCTTGGCAAAATCTCTAGAGATCTCTCTTCCCCGGCCTCCATCTGCATCATCACTCCAGGTCAAACCACCGTTCTGAAAGGGGAACAAAGCACAGAGTTCAGAAGGGAATAGGACAGAGTGGCAGAGGGCAAGGCAATCATTCAGGGCAAAGATGAAGACCCTCAGCAACTGGGCTATCCTAGCTTAGTCTACCCCCTCTGCCCCTCCAACAGGGACATCTTTTGCTTTCAGTTACGGTTCCAAAGTAAATGGGAGTCAGGTAGAAAAATCACGCCCATTTGTTGGAAGAGGGCAGGTGTTACTTATCCTTGATAATCCTGGAAGAGGAGGACACAAAGGCTCAACTTTCTGAGAAGCTGCTCATCCCTAGCTGATCTTCCAGAAGCCATCACTGTGAGATGTACCACTTTTCTTCAGGTTCTGTATGGTATATGTGTTTGTATGATTTTTACGGAGTGTTTGTATACTATACAGTGTGTTATAAAGACACTGAGCCCAGCTTCCCTCATGACCCTCTAAGTGGAAGGTAAAGGGTAGGAGGGAGCAGGACGCAGGTCCTGAAGTTCTGGCCTCTCGGCCAAGCCCCACTGCTAGAATCCGTTAAGTCTAGTGATATGAGGGCTCTCAGAGCTTGACATTATTCCCAAGGTACAGAGATTGTGCCTCTAGGGTGAAATCCATTTCCATTAGAGAAATAATGAAAACCGAATCCTAACTTGATTGATTAGGTTAAACCAACACCATACAAACAGGAGAAAATGGCAAATATGCCTTTGTTTATGTTCCTGGGATCCGCTTCCTGCCTATATTCAGTTGGGTTAACTCTTACCCCTCAAATTAGCCAACATCTTCTGGGGGAAGCCTTCCCTTCACTCTCAGCCGCACTTAGTACTCTGGAAGCAGTCTCTGTACGTTTCGAGTTTAGAATTTAATGTCTTTTGGAATAATCTATCTTCCTCACCACATTGTCAGCTCCTCAAGAATAAAAGTTTCTCATTCATTTTTGTACTTCCAACATACAGCACACTGCCTGGCACTTAATACACCACAGTGAATGCTTGATGAACTATAATCACTGCTAAAAGTTAGTAATGGGACATTTGAATCACCTCTTCTAAAAATATACCCATGTACTGTACAGAAGAGTCCAAAAGGCCCTTCACTAGTGGGGAATATGAACAGTAGACGTCTACTATTCACTTATGCCACACTGGTCAACGGAGGACCCAGTGGATGGGACTGGATGCACCGAGCCTGTCACTCTCTCACTTCACACACCCTCCCCGCAAGACAGGCACGTGTGCAAGTACTGGGGTGTACGTATGGTTGGGAAGGGACATCTGGAGATGGGGAACAGAGGTTTCTTGGAAGGACATTCTTTGTATTGCAAAGGGGTCGTGTTGTAAAACCTCATCCATAAATACAAAAGCCTGGTCCAATTCCCTTCTTTTCTATCTCCCCCTCTAATCAAGCTTGCCTGAAAGCAAGAGATATTATTCAGTTATATTTTGGGACCATACTTTGCTTCCCCTACTCAAAGAGTGCTCTGAAATGTAGACCTACTTTCTGATAGGAGCAATTTAGCTCACAGCAAAGTAAGTATAACCAAGAAGTGACACTCTGTCAGCTGAAATGAAACAGGCTACACCAAATTGTTTCCCTGCTTATCTCGTAAAAGATGTAAGGAAGTGCTCAGTAAATGCTATCTGACTGTGCACTCATCATCTCCCCAGGCAGACGTTGTTAGAGATCTTCCTATAGCTCTTCAGCTCAGGGAGGCAGGCCAATAATCAAGCAGGAGAAACATTATTTAAAAAAAAAAAAAAAAAGCTAAGATTCACCCCCACATTGTAATTACAGTCAGCAGAAATCTGGTGTCATCTGGTGGCAACTAGCACAATGAATAATCAAGATGAATTATGCCTGTCAGGTCAGCAAAACCAGACAGAGTTACAGTCCCCCTTTCAAAGGATGCAGGAGATTGCCCTAATGCCCAGTGATTTTGTTTGAGCCAGTAATTCCTGCTGGAAAGTCAATTATCCTGGGAGCCCCTATCGGCTGAAAGACATTTAATGGGGGATCATTGCCGCTTCTGTTATGTCAGCTGTTTACTGCGGCAGCTCAATTCCCAGCTCTCTCTAGCTGGAGATCAGAAGCAGATTCTGTTTGCAGGAGGATTCTTTCTCTCTAGGTCACCAGGAGAGATGAAAACACAGGTTTTTGCTAATTACAGTAACTTCCAGGCACTCAGAGCGCTCTCTGAGAAAGGATTTAACACTCAGCTGGGTGGGGAGGACGGAATCCACAACCCCAACCCAGACAGCGCTTCCCACAGCAGGAGAAGAGTGTAAAAACAAGCACACCAGTGCAACCACCGTGTGACTACGTGTGGAAAATAAACACCCAGGTGCGAGGGCTCAGCTCAGGAACAGAGGAGGACGCTTGGGGGGGGGGGGGCGCGGAGGGGGGCGGGGAGGAAGGCAGCTGGGGGCTGTCCTGACCCCTTGGCTTTCTCCAGCTCTGCTCCAAAGAGCATCGGAGCCTGAGCAGACCTTGCACTATGGCCCCCTAAATATCAGAGCCTTAAAACGCTGCTTAGTGACAGGATTTTAGCCAGAAGCAGCCCTAGCTCTGTGACTGCGGGGGATGGACAGACCTGCCAGAACAGGACACCCAACTCTTTGGCAATCCCACTATCTGACCCATTCCACAGATAGGAATTTTAGTGATGATTTAAAGAAAACAAAGGGGAGTTTCCTAGGAGTGGAGGTGTTTTCTTTTGTCCAAGGCAAGGATAGGCCATTACTTAATCTAAAATATTCAGCTGGGGCCGATGGGGGAATTGTCCCCTCTCTTTGTGTTACTCTTTTGTCTTGGGGCAGTTAAACCCCGCTTCACAGGATTTTCTGGCTGAAGTGAGAGTAATTCGTGGACCCTGCCCATCCTTCGCAGTCCAGCTGGAATGCTATTTCCTGCACGAAGCCTCGACACCTTTCTCCTCTGGCTGTCAGCTGCTGGGTCGGCTGCTTGTGTCCCCGCCCCTGTCCCCAGTCTGCCTGTGGCTTGTCAGGATATCCCCAGCTGCCAGCACATAGAAAACACAGACACGTTCACTGAAAGGCAGGGATGGACTCCCCTACGGGGCCTCGAACCCCACAACTCCTCTCTTCTCCCTCCTCGTTAGGGGAAGGACCGACTACAGGTTTCTGCGGCTATTTTAGTGGTTCTTCACTCTCAACTACTGTAACACACAGGCACTAACACACAGGCACTGTAACACGCAGGCACTTCGAGTTTAGGTGCAGGGTTCTTGGCCTATCGCCGGGCTGTGGGTGTGACTGCCGGAAGCCCACTGATGTTTCTCTTGGATGCCAAGTGTGGCCAACTGAGGCTAAGGGTGGGGAGGAAAGTGGGGAGTAGCAGAATGTGGGTGTACGGAACACACGTCCAAAGGGAACCAGCTCAACGGCTTCAAGGGGTCCCCGAGAAAAGCATTTTAGTTGAAGGGCTGCTGCATGCAAGCCTATCAGCCAGGGAACAGACTGCGTGACCAGGAGGGCAGCAGGTAGCAGCACTCAAGAGCCCCGAAATGTGCAGGCGAGTCAACGGGAGTGAGTGGTCACTTAGGGCTATTTACAACCTTTCCAGCCTCTCCTACTTGTGAACTCTCCTATTGGCTTTGATCTCACCAGGAGCTCACAGGAAACTGACAGTTTGTTCCCAAATACCCACCCAAGACTAGCTTTGGCTACTACATTCATGTTCAGCTTCTTTCCCCTGGGGAAGCCACGGTGCTGTGCCTTTAAATTCCTCAAAACTGGCAGTGGAAAGTAACATGGGGAAAGGAGAAAGGGCGGTGCCAGGGACTTAACAGGCATTTTCTCACTGAATAGTGTGATGTACAGGTGGTTTAGAGATGGGAAAACAGTGGCTCAAAAAGCAAGCTACTTAACTGGCCCAGGGTCTCAGAGCTTCCAAGTGGCAGCACCAGCATGTAACAAACCCAGGTCTGGCTCTCTTTGTCATGCCATCCTGCCTCGTGGGTGGAAAGAACAGCAGAAGGTGTTCTCCTGGGACATCAGGAAAGGATAGATGGAGGAGGAAAAGAAGAAAATCCTCTGGCCACAGAATGCCTACAGTGCCAAGTCATGGCCCTCTCAAAGGGAGATTCTTATATTCCCTGAGTCATCTCATCGGTTACATCTGGGAATTACAGCCAACCAGGAAGCCAGCTTTCTCATACATCAAGGGCCTGGGAAACTTAACTAGGAAACTGGTGGGTACTGGAATATGAATTGCTAACCTTTCAACACTACCTGCAAAACAAAACATCCAGGGTAAGATGGGCCCCTGTCTTCCCCCAGTGGCCAGGGGATCAAGGGAAAGAGAAAGAGTGACAAAGCAGGTTATGTCTCTGGGAGGACCAGTGGAATATGGCACCTAGTGCTGTGACTCGCCTTCAAAAAACAATGAGTCAAAGTCTAACCTGACTGCTCCTCAAAATTAAAACAGTACTTCCTCAACACCTCAACCCTGGAAGATCAAGAAGACAGCAGGAAAATGTATTCACTCTTTGAAAATTTAAAGGTTGCCTTGCAGAAGAAGAGTGATGGTATTTTTTCCTTTCCCTTTTTTCTGTACAGAACTAGAGTCACTGTGCAGAAGTTGTCAGGAGGACAATTTCAGGTGGAAAGAAGGACGTCTCTAACAATCAGTACTGGCCAGGAATGGAGGGGGCCTTCTCAAGAGGTGGACAGCTTCCTACCCCTGGATGGCCATCTCTCTGGGACGTCATGCCGTGGAATCCAACAGGAGACAAGGTTGCATGAGAGGGCCTCTAGAGGCCCTTTCTGTCCTGAGAAGCACAGACTCTATGACAAATTCATTCAACACTGATTTCCTGAGAACCCACCCAGGTAGAGCCTTGTGCAAGCTGCTGAGAACACTCCTACCCCGCAAAAAGTGATTCTCAGCACTGGGAGTTTTACTGTGTAGTTGGAAAAACAAGCTGGACACACACAGCATTTAATAGAGCAAGTCAAGGTACCAATACACAAAGTGCCCAGGAGGTG